TATCACTCGCGCGGTCCTGGGTTCGAATCCCGGTCGACACCCGCCCAGGCCAACCAAGCCTTCTACCCTCCGGGGACGGTAAATTGGTACCAGATTCGTCTGGGAGGATAAAACACTGACTTGTACATCGGCTGGCCACCGCAAGTCATTGTATAGGCCACATCGCATTCAATAAGCCACTACGATTCTGAATGGAAGTAGAATGCGTGCCGCATCCCACAAAGGGATTGATCAACGGCGAAAACTTTATCCTTTTATCCTTTATAGAGAAAGTCGTCAGAAACCTGCACGCGAGCGATTTATCTTGAGAATCATTTTCCAAAATTTGGGCCCGAGCGGTTCATGTTATTCGTCAGAGCTCCGTGGTGGTGAATGTCTTCACCTTCTCGCGGAGCGGTAAGCTTATGCTATAGAGAGACATCCAAGAATAAGTTAGCCTGGATTTCCCATGTTCCTTCTCTCTCATGTGAACATTGATGGTGAACGGCATTATGAGAAGGGTGTCTCCTTTTTGGAAAGGTCCCCCCCCTTCCTTATTCACATGCTCACACTGATAAGTACGTGCATAAACACAACCCAACAAAACATTAAAGAAAACTGCATGACTCTGGATTGGACGGCTGCCCGTGAATAAGGCAGAAATCAGCGAGGCGTTGCCAAGAAACGAACAGTTTGTCAATAACGACTGACATACACTGCCTTTCATAATTATACTTTCACCAATCAACAGTTTAAAAACTTGAAAACTCAAAACAAAACAATCAAAGCTTTTTGAAAAAATTTCCGATGTAAGAGTGAAGAAGAATTTTTATTTTTGAAAACATGAAGACAAATTTTCATTTTTGCACTAGAGATGGAAACAGAGGAGCTTGGTGATAACTTTCGGAAAATCACTTTCTTCACGATATATTGTGTTGACCCCATAAACATTTTCTAGCTTAAAGTTCCGCACCGAAGGTGAGGATTCTATATATTCACTGCTTGATGGAGAATTTTTGGTCCTGTAAAATAGTATGTTCAGTCAATTTGAAGATTCTTTTTCTATTAGAAATAATTGTTTGTGGGGAAATTTTTTTCTTTCCACATAAAATTTAATGTAAGAAAAGCCCGTTCTCTGTGGGCCAAACCAGTAATTCCACACTCTCCCTGTCAGGTGATACGAGGAGACTTGCCATCGCTCCTTGAATCCTGGTGAGGCTGTCATGGCAGTAAAGCACATAAGGAAGTTGATGCTAGGGAATTTGTGTGCTACTTTTGCCGCAATACATGTACACTCAATGTCACCGCAATTGTCGGGTCGCAATCAGCGGTTCTCACCTGCGGCGTTTCCATCATTGGTTGTTTCCTTCCTAAATCGATCTCTACCCGATCGCCATTGGTAGAGCAAGGGAGCCGAACGCGGACTCGAACCGCGCTGCTCACGCCGCCTCCGACAGTCCGCAATGATGAGGACGTATACTCGAGATCCCTGAGATCGGGTAGGCGTGGCTGCATTCTCCAACTCAACCTGAAGCTTCTGGTGAGATATTTTCATCTTGACACAATTGTTGTCGTGTCTCTGTCCAACACAGAACAAGATGACAGTTGTCCCAGACTGGAATATTCCACGAGTAACCAGTTCCGTGCCATGTTCAAATGCCACGCCTACTCTGGCTCAGGGATAAGGAGTGTATATACACTGCATAGCGCAACCTGCACCTGCACTATAGCAGAAGCTATCAACTAACGAATGGCTATTGATAACTTAGGGATTGGGAGATTTTTCACAGTTCTGAGCTTGTACTTTGCAGAAGTGTTGTGAAGCTGGGTATGGCTTCATTCTAAAAAAGTTTTCAGAGCTCATTCATTAGCTCAGCTAAAGGCTCAAAACTGGAACCAGAAGCAGTACTTCAGTAAATCCTGGAGTCACCTACGGAGAGTGGAAGTTTATATACATACATATAATAATAACATAATATTATATTATGTGAACAGCAAATTCCCGATTATTCCAGCTCGGGTTGCTTTGAACTTTTTTTTGCTGAAGGCGAAGAAGGAAGAAAATTAAGTAGAATTCATAGGTGCCAGCGCTGGCCTCAGCTTAGTTATCGACACCTGGAGCTGACAATGATAGAACTGACAAGAGAATTCAGAAAACAAAACACGGAGTTCTGCCAGAAGTCGTACATATTATGCAAAGCTTAGCATGGCCAAAGTGAACGCATGCATCATGAATAACTTTTGTGTTTTTCCATATACTTCAGCCCTCATTATGAGACCCAGCACTGAGCAGCAGCTCCTGCTGCGGCAGATCTATAACACCACTAACATAGTAAAAATTGAAGTGTTTGCAACCAGCCCTGTTGTAAGGTTCTCTGCATTTCCATGCTTCTAATAAATGCATCTTAATCTATACTCTTGGTCCGTTATAAGTAGGTCTACTGCTAGCTTCAATGAGCGAGCAAGATTGAAGACTCTCCTTGAGAAATGAAGGGAGCTTGTGGATTGAGTTGCGGACACTCACAGACTTTTCATTTTCTGGAAATTAAATGTGCCTCAAGATCACTGAGCTAGTTTGAATAACCCCTGACGGAAAAATCCCACTTCTGCTCCATTATCCAGATGCGCGAAAAATTTCCCCAATGAGCAGTTCAAGGATTTTCTCATAGGAGGCAGGGAGCGAGCTCGCCCCGTAGAAAATAAGTAAGTTGAAAATGTTCTGAGAATTATGTGGAAATTAATTGTGGTTCCGTACGGAATAATTGGCAAAAAACAGCACTGTGAATCGATAAGCGCCCGCATTCATTTCAGAAAAGGGGTGTAAATGTGGTTTTTACGCTCATGATGCTAAGAAAATAAAAGTCTCTTCCACGGCACAGATTTGAAGGGTTTTTCAAGCAGCGCTGAACTGTCCCCGTAAAATACCCAAGGCAAATATCGCATCAAAACTAAACCCCTCTGTTGAGCCTTGGGGATAGTGGCCTCATTTACGAACCTGCAGTCGGAAAGTGACTCTTCAGGGATGAGAGAAATTTGACGAAAATCGTGGAGAACCCCCTAAGTGGAGGACTGGCAGTCTCTAGGAATAGTTCTACGGATCTACTCGTTGGATCCCAACAAAGCAATCCTGCTGCTCCGGCTCACTAATCGCTTCCTCGCCTCATCCAATGCTAATACAATGCGACAGTAAAAAAAAAACGAAAAGCATAGGGTAAAAGTAGAACACGCGACATAAGGTCTTTGAGTTTCCGTGGGGGCGTTAGAACTGCCACCTACGAGGGCCACAGTGCTTTCATTACTCACTGTGAAGTTGCAAAAAATGGTAACCTCAGAGACACAAGGCCAGACTACTTGCACAAGGAAGGACGCTCACAAATTGCTTGAGCACGGAGGTCTTATAGTATATGCAGCAAAAGTTGAGCAGTTTCCAGGAGAGAATAGATAATCCTCTTTCGAGTACTATTCTTGTCTTAACTAACGGTCACTAACGGAGAAAATCGCCGTCCGCCAAAGCAAAACTTTTCATGTGATTTTCAAATCTCCGCCTAATCCCTCAATGACCATACTTCGTAAAACGAAAAATTATTCATGATTGTGATGCCTGTTGAGAAGCGATGATCTGGCTCTTTACACTGAATTAACAGCTTCCTTAATACTACATAAATGTTGCGTGTGACAGTCATCACAAAGCAAACTCCTACGAGTTTTTTTTCTTCTTTACGACCCTGAACGAGCAATGTTACAGAAACCTTTCGAGAGAACTTCACCGTCAATCGTTACGGACAAGAGATGACGCAATCCAGGTAAGCATTTGTGACATATTGAAAAAAAATGTAGAACCTTATGTCAGATAAAAAAAGGCTAAAAATTGGCACGCATTACTAGTTGAGCTTACTGGAACAAACAGAGCGGGGTGCTTGGTGAAAGATAGTTCGTGCAAGCCAACCACTCTTGTCTTACTATACATAGCCTGCCAAAGTTATGTGCTCGAAAAGACCCCATTCTAAAGGCAGTGCCCGCGAACAGCTGACATCTTCCTCTCCCTTCGTGAGCAGGTAGACAGGCCCGCAGAGACAGCGATTGCACCATTTTTGCGGCGCAAAGGTGAGGGAGGAGGGCGGAGACATTGTTGTTCCTCTGATTGTTGCTAAAGAACATTGGCAGAAACATTATTGGCAACGGAAATCAGCTGTGATCACCAGATCGACCACAACAGCACTCGCCCGGTGATCTCGTCCAGTCACTCTCTTGCTCTTCCTCTGCTCGTACAAGTGTGCTCGCAGAGGGGTTTTATTGGGGGCATTTGCGACCATTTTTTTCTGTTTTTCTGCACTATTGACTTTGTTGGCATCTTGGCATCGCTAGTTCAGCACCACTACCCAGAATATATGATCGTCGAGGGCTTTGCTTATAGAGTTCGTGTGAGGCTGCGATCTCCTACGTAGTGACGGTGAAAAAAAAATGATAAGGGAGCATCACGCTCAAGGATGGGCAACTCTTCACGCGGCCTTCTGCCCATGGAAAGCCTCGTTTTAGCAAAGACGTTGACCTCGGACCTGTCCAGATCCATTATGAGTTTGGTTGCAAATGCCTAGGTCTTCTCGGATTGGAAGCAGCCATCGGACACCGGATCTGCTCTTCTTTTAAAATCGTCTTCAGCAGGGTAAGCAACATGGGGGATGGTAGAAACACAGAATGGCTTAAAGTTTTGCAGTCAAAAATCTGCCCAAAACTTTTATTTCTACTTCGATTCTTAAGACCAACTGGCCCTCAGCGGTGGAACTAGTTTTATTGGAAAAGAGAAATCAGATTTCAAAGCTGTGTGCTATTTCAATTACCATGATTGTTTTGTTTTCGGTGAAGAGCCACATTTTTATTTAGCCAATCCAAGCGAGTGGATCTTCAAGGCATTCGAGGGATCGCAATCTTATATGTTTTGATTATGCACCTAAGACCGCAGCTATTCCGGATCGGCTTCATTGGAGTTGACATGTAGGTTATCTAAGTAACATTTTCACAAAGACTTTGTCACTCTGTACGAGGATGTATTCTATTTGGTACAGGTTTTTCGTACTGTCTGGTTTTCTCATGACCAAAATTCTTCGTGAAAAAGAATTTTCGCTGACGTCCATTCGGGATTTCTATACACGCAGATTCAAGCGGATCGTACCTCTCTACATGTTGGTTGTGGTCGCAACGTGCGTATGTAAGTTCAGCAAACTTTCATGAAGTTCGATCTGCTCGAAAGTTTTTGTACCTCAAAGTAGCTGGGCGGAGCGGGTCTACAAATCCAAGTTGCGTGATCTACAGAAATGATAGGATGGCCGAAAGTCCTGAAGAGCGCAAAAATACTTCTCTGTTACAAGAATTCTTAATTATACTAATGAGTTTGATGGGGCTTCTACAACAGATAAGTGCAACAGAAAACAAGGTTGAACTTGAAAATTACTACAAGAGCTCCAAGATGCAAATAGCTTTCAACGGAAACGTTCGTACTATCTGCTCATAGTCCTGTTCCGTGTCGGCCCAAACCTCGATATCACGTCACAGAGTATCCAGAGTGGTTATTCTCCCACTCTTTGATTTTTCTACTCTGAAACCATGAAAAGGGAAGACGAACGGGAAGGTCCTCATTGTTGCAAGGGCATCATTCTTTGTAAACTAATCCGAGCAGATTTAAAGGCAGTTGGCACGATAATTTGGTACTCGGCCTAAAATGCTAGTAGGGCGCTATATAGTGGGGAAATGGCGAAAGAACGGAGTGAAACGGTCAAAATCCTGCGAAGAAAAAGCCTCCGTTCTCAATGACTTGAAAATCAATTTTGGACGAGTTTCCCGTAGGCATCTTGCCAACAACCGCCACCGGGGAGACGTGCAACAGGATCGTCCGGCGCGCGGCACGCGGCGCGCCGCGCGGCGAATGACTCAGCAGCTCATTTACTCCTCCAATCGACTGGAGGAAATGATTTACTACAGCGTACATCCGCAACATTTAGCAGGTTTCATCAATGATTGAAAATCTAATGATGTTTTTCTTGATAGTAACACACAATTGTTTGGCGGTTCCATAAACGCAACTTCAGGAAATAAACAGATACAAAAGAAATCAGATAAGGCCGTGATTCTCCCTATGTTTATGTGGTTCACATGATTTGCGCAGTCGCCAGCGTCAATATAATAGACGGATGGCCAAGTTTTTCTGTGAGCTGCTGTAAAAGATGACAAACCAGAGCAAATGTTAAAGACCCCAATGAATTTCGTGCTCTATTGAACTTTTCATACTCTAACTGAAAACTTAACCGTAACTGAACACAAGACTCGATCCTGGGTGATATCAATATTTACCTTCCCTTCAATAACCCTATTCAAACCGCCAGAAGCACG